TGCCTTGCCAAAGCTGAACTTTCACTTAACGCGGCATTTTTCATCATATAGCGGTGAGTGTCCGGCTCGAGAGCTATTTTTAGATTCGCACCACCCCCCACCCGCCACCCTGCCTGACTGCCTGTTTTAGCTCATAAAATTCATACAAATTACCCAGCCAGAATATAATTTACATTGCTGGAATTCTTATAATTTGGTGATCATTTTGAATATAAACAACATATATTTTACATTAAACATACAATTTTTAGATAAAAATTGTTCTCTAGGTAATTATGTTATCTTTTGTCCAAAATATATGACATTTATATTCAAAATATTCCTGGTCTTACAAGGAATCCAGCAATGTCAATTATATTGTCCTAACTTTAGTTTGAGGTATTATTTATTAAAATTTAGTGGTTATCCCACACATCTCCTTGGGACGGTTGGTGGGGGGAGGGAGGGACCGACCGACCGACCATCTGTTACCCTGTGAAGAATTATTTTTTTTTTTATTAACTGAAGATATTTGTTTTAGCTCATAAAATTCATACAAATTACCCGGTCAGAATATAATTTACATTGCTGGAATTCTTATAATTTGGTGATCATTTTGAATATAAACAACATATATTTTGCATTAAACATACAATTTTTAGATAAAAATTGTTCTCTAGGTAATTATGTTATCTTTTGTCCAAAATATATGACATTTATATTCAAAATATTCCTGGTCTTACAAGGAATCCAGCAATGTCAATTATATTATCCTAACTTTAATCTGAGGTATTATTTAATACTAAATGTTAAAAACTCTTGAATGGAGGATTGGTGGGGGGTGGGGGGAGGGTTGGGACTGACCACGCGGTTGGAAGAGGGGGGGAAGGCAAGGTGGGGTACTTTGATTGACAGATAGTGTCGAAGAATATATTTTTTTTTTTTATTAACTGAAGATATTTGTTTTAGCTCATAAAATTCATACAAATTATCCGGCCAGAATATAATTTACATTGCTGGAATTCTTACAATTTGCTGATCATTTTGAATATAAACATCATAGATTTTGCATATAGACATACAAATTTTAGATGTAAAGTTTATTCTGAGTAAATATGTTATCTTTTGTGAAAAATATATAACATTTATATTCAAAATATTCCTGGTCTTACAAGGAATCCAGCAATGTCAATTATATTATCCTAACTTTAGTTTGAGGAATTATTTATTACTATACCTGGTTTTCCCCCAAAAATTTCTCAGAGGGAAGAGCCAGTGAGTGTAGTGTGAGAAGAGGGGGAGGGAGTCGAGTCCATTATTTGAATGGACATTAACTTGGCGACTGTATTTCTCTATTTCTCTTAAGTATTAATTGTGTGCATGTACCATCATAAAATTAAGATGTTATTTTTACTACAACATAGTTATTTGTCGTCAAAAAGTGGAGTTTGGGGGTCGGGCTGGGTTCTATTGGAATTAATCCCATATGTTCTGTTATTCACTTAACGCGGTTTTCACTTAACGCGGGACCCTCTGGGTTCAATTGACCGCGTTAAGTGGGGTACAACTGTATATTCAAAATATTCCTGGTCTTACAAGGAATCCAGCAATGTCAATTATATTATCCTAACTTTAGTTTGAGGTATTATTTATTACTAAAAGGTAAATATTCTGGTTTTCCCACACATCTGGTGAGACGGTTGGTGGGGGGTGGGGGGGAGGGAGGGTCCGACTGACCATCTGTTACAGTGAAGAATATATTTTTTTTTTATTAACTGAAGATATTTGTTTTAGCTCATAAAATTCATACAAATTACCCGGTCAGAATATAATTTACATTGCTGGAATTCTTATAATTTGGTGATCATTTTGAATATAAACATCATAGATTTTGCATTAGACATACAAATTTTAGATGTAAAGTTTATTCTGAGTAAATATGTTATCTTTTGTGAAAAATATATGACATTTATATTCAAAATATTCCTGGTCTTACAAGGAATCCAGCAATGTCAATTATATTATCCTAACTTTAGTTTGAGGAATTATTTATTACTATACCTGGTTTTCCCCCAAAATTTCTCAGAGGGAAGAGCCAGTGAGTGTAGTGTGAGAAGAGGGGGAGGGAGTTGAGTCCATTATTTGAATGGACATTAACTTGGCGACTGTATTTCTCTATTTCTCTTAAGTATTAATTGTGTGCATGTACCATCATAAAATTAAGATGTTATTTTTACTACAACATAGTTATGTGTCTTCAAAAAGTGGAGTTTGGGGGTCGGGCCGGTTTCTATTGGAATTAATCCCATATGTTCTGTTGTTCACTTAATGCGGATTTCACTTAACACGGGACCCTCTGGGTTCTATTGACCGCGTTAAGTGGGGTACAACTGTATATATATATTATATATATATATATATATATATATATATATATATATATATATATATATATATATATATATATATATATATATATATATATATATATAAATATATATATATATATATATATATATATATATATACACCTAGACCCCCACTTACGACGGGGTTAGGGACCCGAATCCAGGTCGTAAGTCCGACATGGTCGTAAGTCCGACATAGATAAAAAAAATAAAAATAAAAAAATAAAAAAATAAAAAAAATTTAATAAAAAATCTACAATGAAATACAGTACAGTAAAAGTAATGAATAATGATGAATGGATACAGTACAGTGAAAGTAATAAATAATAAGGAATGGATACAGTACAGTGAAAGTAATAAATAATAAGGAATGGATACAGTGTGACTGAGCACTTAACCTTTAATGTAGTCAGCTGAATGCACATGGGGCCCCCATAATTTTCTAATTATACATGGAGACTACATTAACTGGAAACGTTTCGGTATAGAAAATGCGTGTCATTTAAAAAAAAAAAAAATTTTTTTTTTTATCTATATCTGAGGCGGTCGTAAGTCCACGTAGTCGTAAGTCGGGGTCTAGGTGTATGTATATATATATATATATATATATATATATATATATATATATATATATATATATATATATATATATATATATATATATATATATATATATATATATATATATATACAGTATTACCCCGCTTAACGCGCTTTCACTTAACGCGTTTTCGCATATACGCGGTGCCTTGCCAAAGCTGAACTTTCACTTAACGCGGATTTTTCCACAGCAACGCGGTGAGTGTCCGGCTCGAGAGCTATTTTTAGATTCGCACCACCCCCCACCCGCCACCCTGCCTGACTGCCTGTTTTAGCTCATAAATTTCATACAAATTACCCAGCCAGAATATAGTTTACATTGCTGGAATTCTTATAATTTGGTGATCATTTTGAATATAAACAACATATTTTTTGCATTAAACATACAATTTTTAGATAAAATGTTTAATCTGAGTAAGTATGTTATCTTTTGTCCAAAATATATGACATTTATATTCAAAATATTCCTGGTCTTACAAGGAATCCAGCAATGTCAATTATATTATCCTAACTTTAGTTTGAGGTATTATTTATTAAAATTTAGTGGTTATCCCACACATCTCCTTGGGACGGTTGGTGGGGGTTGGGGGGGAGGGAGGGACCGACCGACCATCTGTTACCCCGTGAAGAATTATTTTTTTTTTTATTAACTGAAGATATTTGTTTTAGCTCATAAAATTCATACAAATTTCCCGGTCAGAATATAATTTACATTGCTGGAATTCTTATAATTTGGTGATCATTTTGAATATAAACAACATATTTTTTACATTAAACATACAATTTTTAGATAAAATGTTTAATCTGAGTAAGTATGTTATCTTTTGTCCAAAATATATGACATTTATATTCAAAATATTCCTGGTCTTACAAGGAATCCAGCAATGTCAATTATATTATCCTAACTTTAATCTGAGGTATTATTTATTACTAAATGTTAAAAACTCTTGAATGGAGGATTGGTGGGGGGTGGTGGGAGGGTTGGGACTGACCGCGCGGTTGGAAGAGGGGGGGAGGCAAGGTGGGGTACTTTGATTGACAGATAGTGTTGAAGAATATATTTTTTTTTTTATTAACTGTAGATATTTGTTTTAGCTCATAAAATTCATACAAATTATCCGGCCAGAATATAATTTACATTGCTGGAATTCTTATAATTTGGTGATCATTTTGAATATAAACAACATATTTTTTGCATTAAACATACAATTTTTAGATAAAATGTTTAATCTGAGTAAGTATGTTATCTTTTGTGAAAAATATATGACATTTATATTCAAAATATTCCTGGTCTTACAAGGAATCCAGCAATGTCAATTATATTTTCCTAACTTTAGTTTGAGGTTATCCCACACATCTCCTTGGGACGGTTGGTGGGGGGTGGGGGGGGGGAGGGAGGGACCGACCGACCATCTGTTAGCTGGCTGTGTAGTGTGAGAGGGGAGGGAGTTGAGTCCATTATTTGAATGGACATTAACTTGGCGACTGTATTTCTCTTAAGTATTAATTGTGTGCATGTACCATCATAAAATTAAGATGTTATTTTTACTACAACATAGTTATTTGTCGTCAAAAAGTGGAGTTTGGGGGTCGGGCTGGGTTCTATTGGAATTAATCCCATATGTTCTGTTATTCACTTAACGCGGTTTTCACTTTAACGGGACCCTCTGGGTTCAATTGACCGCGTTAAGTGGGGTAACTGTATATATATATATATATATATATATATATATATATATATATATATATATTTAGTGATTTAAGGGCAATTTAGGGGAATTTTAGGAGTGTTTCTGACTTTATGCATTTTTGGTTTTACTTTGTATATACTTTTCTGTGAGCTGGAACCAATTACCCAATATCCTGTTGAAACATTGGTTTCGGTCAACGAAATTTTTGGTTAACGAACGACCCTCTGGAACGAATTGAGTTCGTTAACCGAGGGACCACTGTATAAGAATCAATGTGATAAGTTTCCATAAGTTTTGGTCTCTGATAGTTTTTATCCTTTAGATTTCTGTTGCTGAATGCTGACCTCCCAGAAGTTCAGAGAACTGCTCGCACTGTTGGTTCTGCTCACAGTTTCATCACACACAGAAGTTCACATCCGGAGAAATCAAAAGAGATGGAAATTAATCTTCCTTGCTTCACTAAGAACAGAAAGAGAAAACACGAGGGAGGCTTGAAACTAGGTGACCCAGATGACCAGGTTGATCAAGAGAAGAGTATGGAAGACAAAAACCTCAATAATGAATTTAATGCACAGGGAGCAGAAATAGTGACAAATAAGGCTGATGAAAGCTCTTTACCAGAGAGGGGTCAAGGCCTTGATGACACATTAGAAGCTGAAATTGAGGCAGTCTTGAGGGGAAAACCTAAGTATGTTCCCACAAATATAAATGAAAAAATTCTTGGTAATAATTATAAAAGAGAAACTAAGAACACTGGTGAAAAGATACCCCTAAAAAGTCGACTAACAATGACTAAATGCAGTGCAAGTAGAGTACGGTTACAAGCTGTGAATCACACGGTCAGCTCGATGAAGAGACCTGCACACTTATCTCATGTAGTTGGAAAAGAGGCATCAAGTGGTCATCATGGTCTGGTGCATATGATTGGTGGTGCTTTATCTGTAACTCATGGAAGAGCTGTGAAAGTAAACAGCATACCTGTACATGTCTCAAGTGCAAAACCAACTAGCTTGATCAGTGGTGACTGTAAGTCCCAGCTCCTTGATCTTACATCACACAGCCTTGTAAGGTGTTCATGTGGTGAGAAAGAGGGACTGTATAGACTACCCTGCTGCCATATTATGTGTCGTAGTTGTTTAATCCAAAAGACTAAGGGACCTGAAGTAGTGTGTGGTGTGTGTGAGATAATGTGTAAAAGACTAGACATTAGTAGACATCATGAGAAAAGTATATTCTCATGATAAGTGTTGCAACTAATTAGACCAATGTAACACTTTTTTTAAAGGATCCTAGACTGATAACATAATTTTCTGTGAAGTAGTATTAGTTAGCACTATAATATATCCCGTGTTGTTCGCATTACTTTCTAAAAGTAACGGCGTTACCGTTAGTCGGTAGAAAATGTAAGGCCGTTACCACTGCCGTTGCATTTTCTAAAAGGTAACGAGTTACCGTTACTTTTTTATGTACAGTATAGTCTGCATTTAAGCGGTCAATTGAACCCGTGGAGTACCGCGTAAAACGAGAAACACGTAAATGAAATAACAGAACACATGGGATTAATTGAAAGAGAGACTGGGCCGACACCCCAAACTCCACTTTTTCCGTACCTTGTAGTAAAAATAACATCTTAATATTATGATGGTATGCACACACAATTAATAATTAAGAGAAATATCAATAATATTAGGTTTTTTAACACTTACGTTAGTAGAAAAGCTGGGTCGGCACGTGGATGGCGGCTGGTTCCGAGGCAGAGGGCAGATTAGTTGTCCTCCGGTGAATCACTTTCACTACTCGCAGAGGTTTGCAGGTCCTCCCAGACAAACCTCCCAAAGTCCATATCCTCACTGTCAATATCACTATCACTGACTTGGGCTGGCTGTGGTTGTGGTGGGTTGCAGGCGAAGAAGTCCTCAATACTACGTTGACGACTAGCGTTGATGTTGTCGAGATAGATGTGGATATACGGCTCCATAACTTTCGTCAGATGGTTATTAGACACTTCATACCGATGCTTGTCTGGGTCATTGTCATGGATGAGCTTAAGTTTCTCCCCCAACTCGATTTCCTTCACATTATCATGGCTTGGTCCAGGTAATTCAATGTTTTTTCTCTGGTGGTGGGGGTCCTGCGGAAGCCATTGTGAGTTGTGAGGGGAATAGCGGGCACAAGAGAGAACTGTATACGCGGACTGAGAACAATGAGACAGGCCCTGCTAGGTCAGCGACGTCTACCCTCTGGTGGCAGGGCACGTCATGTTACATTAGACCAATCACAGCTAACGGCCGAGGGAATGCGTGGGTGGTAAGGATGCGTTGCCCAATCACAGTCCGATACGTCATATGACGTCAGCGATAACGTAAAAGCGGCCTAATGCTCACCACTCACCTTGCCGCTTCCCGCGTATGGTCAGGAATGGACCGCGTGGGTAAAAAATGGCACGACGGTCTGGACCTCTCCAGCCGCTCGCCGCGTAAATGACCAAATTTACTGCGTAATTAAAGCATTTTCATTTTGGCAAGGCACCGCGTAAATGATCAAATGCGTAAACAAAAGCCGCGTAAATGCAGACTATACTGTACATGATATTGATAATAAAAATATTAACATAACTGAGTTTTAGATAAATTACTAAACACCTTAAATTGATGTGATCCCTCATTATCAGTTATTTCTTCTAATTTCTCGTAAAATTCTACTATCCCACAACTATCATATTTATACAATGCTTCAGCAGATCTGTCTGCACTTAGTCCATAAACCTAATGACCCTTTCTTGGGCTTCATCACATTTATTTGCATACTGTAGTACTGTACAGTAGATAATTGTGATTTATTGATGTGTCAACACTCATCTGGCCTTTACAGTATTTATAAAATAAATTAATATGACACTATAAAATTATGTTTAGTAATACAGGCAGTCCCCAACTTACAACAGGGATACGGGTATGTTCCAAGCCACTGATCGTAAGTCGATTTGTTTTTAACTCAGAACAGTGTTAATTCCTTAGTTTAGGTTAAGTTAAAGCACAACCCTGCCCATACAAAACAAGAATAATATCCCATACATAACAATTAATGTAAATACTCTAAGTAAAGTGATGTTAATCGATATGGAATAATGAAAGTAATGTAAAAAGTACGATTTTATTTACTAATTTTTGCGATGACTGTATTAGGATCCCGTTCATAAGTGTGGGTGTTTGTAAGTGGGACGGTCGTAACACGGGGACTGCCTGTATTTATCATAATTTTGGCAACTAATATATAAAGTAGCATTTTTTGTATAATTTGATAAATTAAACCTCAAACATTATCAGCAAATACAGGAAAGCCTCCGATAACAACGATTCATATTTAAAACCCTGGTTAATTTAGGACCCAATTCAGTTTACACCATTATTTTATTCATATTTATGACAAAAATGGAATAAGAAATAAAATAAAATTACATTTTCATATAAATAATAAATAAATCCTGATATGTATTAAAAAAAAACACGCCTTGTGCATGGAGGCTGCTGGGCTTGTGAAAGGTGACGTCAGCATCACTAGTATGAAGGGCCAATTGCAAGATCAGCCGTCGTAATACAATGGAGTAAAAATTTTGTGATTTTTCAAGATGGGCCATGGTGGTACCCGACCGTCGTTAGTTGTTACTACGTCATTGTAGTGTAGTCAGGTGTACCAACTGGCGGAAGACTTGGGAGTTGGTATGCTTGCACCCTCAAAACGTTCCAAGTGGCACGAAACGTTTACTCTTGCTACACGATTTACAAGTATAAAAAACTTGAATCCCAAGCTAAGGTGCACCTCATTTTCCTATTTTCTTGGATTATAAGCCAATTCTGGAAATGAAATATGATCATTTACAGTGAATATAGGTAAATAAAACCTGTGACAACCATAAAAACATAGGAATAGAGTGAAATATCTGTTCCTTTCTTCTTTATCCTTATTAAATCTAACAATAAAGTTATAAGTTTTTCATGAACTTGGGGTTGGGTGAGTGTAATAAAGAGAACTATGGCTTGTTCTGTGGATGAAGTCAGTAGAATATAACAAAGTACAGTATTAGGTATTATAATTTTGCTGTGACAGTGATGAACTCACTGTACAGATGGATTGGGATAAAATCTTGAAGAATATCACCATAACTGTTAGCTTTCTATCAAGCAGGAAATTATCTTTGTACCAAAAATTTTTACTTTCATATTATACAAGTATAAAGATCAGTTATCTACAAGATATGAAAACTTGAGATAATGTTTCCTACTTGTCTCCACCTGATTATAGAAATGTAATAAATACCCTTTCAAAAAAAGCAAGACATGAACACTTTCCCAATGTCAGGAGTAAAAATGTATACAATATGCTAATGACATGGACTAAACCAGCAGTTGGAGAAAGTATCTGCTGTTTAAATGGTCTTTTATTTGGAAAAATATTCCATGTAAATACTGTATATGGATCCTCACCAGAGAGCCTTCATATAGTTAGTGTGCAGACATTTGTTTACAAGGCACATACTCAACTGTTATGGAAATGAAGATGTGTTAGGTTAGGTTAGATTAGGTTCATCTTGTGAGCAAATGTCATGGAACCCATATACAGTAGGTATATTCATGAAATTCTACCAACTAATCAGAGACTAATAATGTTAAACAGAACAAGATGATAATTAAATGGTTTAAAAATATCCCCAATACAGTCTGCAATGTTAATTGCAAATTATTCCTGCATTTTTTAATGTTTAATATAAACTAATAATAATAAGGATAAGAATACAGCGAAAATGCTTATGTCAGAATATAGCCCTTATTAAAAGCAGGATATGTTAATATATGGATGATCAAGAATGTATTTTAAAAGAAAAATCATCCACAAATTTCACAAATACTGTATATTAATACGTAATATCCACGTATGTATGCAGAGTGTAAAATGAAGAAAATAAAAATAATTAAGGCATACAGTATGTTATGATTTCTCCAAGGCATATTTTCAGAAAATTGCAGAAACTGCATTTTTTCTGGTCTATTTGGGGATTTTACGGAAAGTCTCCAAATTTTTCTGTTCCGAGTCTGGGAACCAATTCCGTGGTTAGGCTAGGTAGCAAATTCCAAAATCTTCCCTGGACCCGGAAAAATTCCCCATCAATCATGATACCAAGATTTATTTCTTCAGTATTGGTGAAAGGTGAATAGTCAGCTGTATCTCCACCTGTAAGTGAAAATTAAGTCATTAATATTGTGTTAGTTAAATTTGCAAATTCTGAAACAACTTTATTTATGATGGTTAATATTTATAAGTTTCCAACATCTACATATTGTGGGTAATTTTGTCTGTTAAAAAAAATAATAAAAAAATTCCAATGGAAACTCAGATATGTTTGGTTTGATATGCAATGCACACTCAAAAAATTGATTGTTCTTTTCTAATGTAAATTGTTATGGTGACTCCAAAACTTTGATCCCTTTTTTTGGAGAAATTCATAGAACAAAAATTATAAGCCCTTTAAAATTTTAATGATCTACATCAAAATGTTAACCTAACCTACCTAACTTAACCTAACTGTAAACTGACTTAACTATCATAAAATAAAGTGTACTGTCTTTCATATTTTAAAGGTTGGATTAAGGACAAATTCATTTAGGTTAATTTCTGGTTACAGTTAATTAGTCAAGTCTGACATATTTCTGTTGTAATCATTAGAATGTATACAGTACAGTATCACATTTGTTGAAGATTCATAATTTCATTATCTTTGAATATCCAAGAATTGTAATAATAAACCAATTAAAGGTAAAGGGAGTCATACCTGTGATTACTTTCTACAATTATTACATCTAGCTATAATTGAGTGGAGCAGCAAGGTGGGTTAGGTAAGATAAAAGGAGTTTAAAGATGAAATTGTAGTACAGTCTCTCCTCAACTTACAACGGGGTTCCGTCCCGACGATCAGGTCATAAGTCGAGGAAAGACTGTACGTAATACCCGAAATATTGTTATTAAATATTATCATCAATGACTTCTTTTGGTATTAAACAATACATTTTGGTGCTAATTTTTTCCTCTTCCATAAAGTAGCTTTAGTGTACAGGGTGAAACATCTCTCATGGAGTGATTGTCATTTGAACTTTACGGAGTATGAATTTGTAAAAAAAACAAAACTAATGATTTTGATCTATGGAGGATACAGGCCTGAGTCACCCTTACAGCGTTTAGGATGTTGCAAACTGCCATAAAGCACGAAGGCTCTTGCTGGTATTGCCCTGACTGTGTAGTCAAGGTGAATGAGGCGATTGCAAGCCATAGGGGAACGAGTTTCCTAGGGACGAAAATAGATGAAGCTGGAACCTTGCTGGTTGCCAAACCAGAACAAGTTGGGAAAGAGATCCTTGCTAAGACTGAGGAAGTAGCCGACAGAATGGAGGTGGTTGCTAAGAGGAGTTATGCTGACGTATTAGCTGGGCCACGTGAGGGGGCGGAGAGTAATGCAGGATCAGAACAGGTTCTACAGCAGCTAGGGACTCTAAAGAAGTGTGTCGAAGAAATGAAAATTAACGGACC